TTTACATTATTGTATCCCCCACTTTTAAAAATTCTCTCTGTGGTCTTTGTGGGAATTATGATGATAATTATGAAAATGAATTAACTTTGCAAAATGGTAATATAGTATCTAATCCTGTTACTTTTGCTAACAGTTGGAGAAAAGAAGACAAAGGTAAAGTTGTAGTTTATGTCATATTAATAATGATGTTAATGGTTAATAAATAATAGTTAATGTTTAATAATCATGATTAAACATTTCCAGCACTAAACTTTAATAAATGCTGTTAAATTTTGTAGTTGCTTCACTCTGCCAGTTAAAAGCTTATGAGTATCATAAATATCACTTCCAGTAAGAAGCTAAACAATTAGACAAACAGGTTCAAAACTTGTTAAGCAAATTCTATGTTACTGGTAGTTGAGCTTTTTCATTATGTGGTATTTGACTACATAAATATTGTGATCTAAAAACTCAAACTCTAGTAGAAATTTTGAATTCATCCCAACTGCATGCAGTTTTATACAATACTTATGAGGTTTAGCATCAGTTTGAGCATCTTCAAACAAGTAATGTGCAATATTCTCAGTAAAGATGGATTCTAAACCCAGATCCTTGGCTATTGACTTTTGTTTACAGAAGTTTTGACAATTACAGTTGTGAGAATTGGGGTTTAAGCATCTAAGCTTAAACCGTTTTCCGACAACGGGAAGGTGAGTCCCGCTCACACGGTCAGTGGATGGCAATTTAGGAGGGCAAAAATTGAGTGGGAGGTCACGGATAAGTCGATAAGGTGTTGACAGAGTATGAGTAAACACACTTGTTTAAGATATAATATATATATATTTAATTAACAAATGCTATATAAAAAGGTTACAAATAATTAATAATACTACTAATTTCTAACTGAAGTTACAATAGGTGATTAGCTGGCTTATATCTCGCGTATTTCCGACAGAGGATATTCTCTGATCCTTATTACTATTTAAATTTGGAATTAGCCGTTGTCCATCTGAGAGAAGAGAGAGAGTTCTACTTACTAAGTTGCAGATAGTAGAAGTTAGCTTTGTCATTTGTCGTCGGTGGTCAGTGTTGAAGGCAGTTAATCCGTTGCTTCTTGTGATCTTGGAGGCCACCGAGATAACTGGCCAGGAGCCCTCTTTATACCAAATTTGAGGGGGTGAGAACTATGATATTATTGATGATTTATACGCACACCTGTTAGTGTGTTGATGTTTGGATCTAGCTAGTACGGACAACTGACTCAGAGAAGTTTGTTTAATTTATTGCTATTGGTGTCTAGAAGATATGATTTTATAATATAAATTTCTATAGGTTTGATGGCTCTCATCCATAAATTAACATTCAGCTGACAATAATTTCTTTAACCTGGTCAACTATCTAGATATTGTTTATATCAAATGTCGTGTTTGACTACGAACGAGGCGATTTATTGCCGTAACCATGTGTTATGTGCAACCAAAGAGGTGATAAGAAACATCTCTTATTCCCGTCTTGTTGATATTAACATTTATAGAATTACCTTTAAACAAATGGAGGAGATTTCGTTTATTGATATTTTAATATTCCCCTTCTTTTTTCTTATTTGAGGAGAGTGTCTAGGTCATTGACTGCAGAGGTTCTCCTTTTTCTCTTTTCAGAAAAAATTCCGAGGTTTATACTGTTTTAGAAAAGAAAAAGGGTTTCAGACCTTCACACAGTTCAACAGTGCCATAACTATTTCTGAAGCTGACTTTTTATAATTTCTACAGATAAGGTTATTAATACTGTTTCTTTCACATACTCCAGCTTAGCAATGATACTTTTTTATTTCCAGGATTTAAATCTTTCTACCCTATTCCTTCTAAAGAGATAATTTTGAACTGAACAGGATAGGATTCTATGGATAATTGTCAAGTGTGTTATAAATTTTATAACACACTTGACAATTAACAATCAACTTTCACATTTTTGCTGTAGGTTTGGATCTGAGACATTTTAAATAATCTCTTATGTATTCTTGTCATTTATCCTTAAATTGCATTCACTATGTAACAAGAATTGATTTCATAGTATTTCTAGTTTTATTTGCTATAATTTGGATTTAAGAATTTCATAAATTGTTGATTTATTTTTTATAATATCTAAAGTTATAAAAGTTATGATAATAATAACTACAATATATTTTAGCTTGCCAGAATGTTATTAGGGAAATTAATTTTTGTCGTCATAATACAGAAGAAGATAATAAAATTTCAGAAACTGCAGCTGAGAAGTGTCTTGCTTTAACTGACAAGGAATATGAATATTGTCATAAAGTAAGATTTATTTAAATATTTTTATCGTTTTTACAAAATTTTACATCTTTAATTAAAGTATTTTCTTTTGATATTGAAATAATTTGGGAAAAGACTGAGCTAAACATACAAAATTCTGACATTTATAAATTAAATGTAATGGAAAAGATTAATGTTTTTGAAAGAAGTTTAAAAAATATTGCTGTTAATAAATATGATGATAGAACTGTTCTTATATCTTGGTAGTGGTTGTGTATAAATTTTAAATAATTTTAATTGTTATTTTAGTTTCTTATTTGATTTTAAATTGAGTTATATAAGTTATTTTATTTAGAAGTTTGTTTAAAAATAGTAAATAGCCTTTGATGTTGAGCTTCTGAATTTCAAGTGAGAATAGTTGTCAATGAATATTTCAATATAGCCTTAAAAGGTTATGTTGAAGACAACTTTCCTCACTTGAAAACACTAACTTTAAATTAACAATCAAACAATGTAAGCAGTTTTAACAATATAAATATGAAGGATATACAGTATAAATTTTCACTTAGATCAGAACTTTACCCATACACAAAAAATAATTCATAAATTATATTAACATAAAAACTTAGCTGTCTGCAAAATCTAAAACATTACTATAGAGCAATTAAAATTATGACAAAACATCTTTAGAATATTGTTGAATTCAAGGATTCAACATTTGTAAGATATAGATCATAACAAACAGTTGCTGTGCATTACATTTATTCTTTAAAATTCTTAAGAATACTATTATTCTTTGAAGTTCAAATAAATGATTTAATAGATTCAAATAGTTTCAAATAGATGATTTAAAAATAATTTAATATCAAAAAATTAAAATAATAGCAAACTAATTCTTCTTATTCCTGTCATCTATATTCAACCTTCTACCATTCTTTTTTTCTTTGTAACCTATTTATATGGAGTAGACAATAATATTCTATCCTTTTCATTTATTATTTCTGTTTTACAATTTTTGTTTTGTACAAATTTACTTCGCAACAAGAGAGCACTCTTGCTACAAAGTAAATTTATAAAAAGTAACTCTCAAAAAAGATTGAAAAGACAGAAAAACACTTGACAAGATTGACAGTCTCAATGCTTGAGTCTGATTTCACTCTTTTCCTCCTTTATGTGATTGATAATTGAATTTTAATAAACAATATAACCATCTCCAATGTCTAGTTCTAGGAAGACATAATCTGTTTCCTTCTGCAGGTTCTTCTTGGACACAACTGCTTTACATGAATGAAATTCACAGATCTACCATCATAGACAACCAAATGTGGGGCACCACATTACACCATATGTATCATATTGCAACTTTTCTTTGTGTTACAAAGCAGCTGTCTTTTCAATTTTAATTCTACTTAAATATGTTCAATAAACTTTATTATTTTGACTAGAAAAAATTACATACATTAAAAGAAAGTTTTAATTTTCAGTTAGTTGATCCACATCTATATTTAGAAGCATGCAAAACAGACTGTTGTGATCAAAGTGGTAAAGATGGTTGTGAATGTAGCAGTTTAAGTGAATATTTTCGTGAATGTGCACGTTTACATGGAAACAAAAATACTGCGTGGAGAAAACCTAATTTATGTAGTAAGTTAGAAGCTTATTAATTTAAAATTATTTTCTAGTTTTTAAAATTTGAATTTATATATTTTTTTTTAGAAAGGAAAAAATATAAAAATTTACTTTTTTTAATAAATTTATTTTCTATATTGCCTTTAAATTTATAATATTTACATTCCTCTATTATAAATTTAGAAATATGATTTTATTCACTTAGAATCTGGTTTTAAGTGTACTCTCTCTGTTTTCAGTTATTGTTTATCATGTGATTTTCACATCTGCTGTATCAAGAACATTAAAATCAACATATTAAAAATTGTACTTTTTATTATTTGTCATTATCTTCATGCATTTCTGATGAACAGAGAATGTTATTCATACAGAACTGGGCTTCTTAAACTTTTTTCATTCACAACTCCTTTTTTTACCCGAGATTTTATGTCACTTTTGATGTATATATATATAGGTATATAAAATAAATATACAAATAAAACATTAACTAACTGAATATTTAATTCTAAACAATTCTTATAAAGAATTGTTTGGAATTAAATTATAATTTTACCACTTACTCCATTTATTAGGAAAAAAGCAAATTTGTATTCTAACAAGAAGGATGTGCTTGTTTATTTTACATAAAGAGTTAAATCTTGGCTGAATATTTGATATTGCAAGATGCAGGGCATCTTCAATGTTTGCAGAGTTGATTGATATTTTGATTTTACAATTTCAATGATGAAAATGAAAAATGATATAACAAATTAGCAAGAAATATAATGAATAGATTGTTTAATAATGAAGAATTAAATAACATTTTTCTGCCATTTCACCATATGATAAGAGTAAAGATTTTAAGTATGACTTTTGTCTCATGAACTGGAAAAATTGATGCTACAAAGCTTGGTACCAATCAAAACAGCTGAGAGTGGTTTCAATTCATTATCTCAGAAAATAAATATTTATAAAACCTTTTGTATAAAAATGCTCAAAAATGCTCTGTTTTACATAAAACCAACATCAACACAAAGTGAAAGGAACTTCTCTATTTCTGGAGTTTTTGTGTCAAAAACAAAAGACACATTTGTCAGATAAATCAATAAGCTTTCCAATACATGTAACCAGTTATTTTAATAAAAATTTTTAGTAAATGTAGAAACAAATACAATGAATTTTTAATATATTTAAAAAATTAATTAAAGTAAACATGTGACAATCTTACATCTTCTAGTTCTGCTTTGTATGGTTTTCTTCTGTGTCATTAAAAGTCTTCTATAAATAATCATAAGTTGAGTTTTGATTCTTGAGAAAAAAGTTTTACTTATTTGGGAATTTCTGATTCTTGGAATCCAAAATATTCAGGAAAACACAATCCCTAGTCAATATTCAAACCAAGGATGTATAAAATTTATACATATATGCTGAGGAATGACAGCAAGAAAATTTTATTAAAATTTTTATTTTTGGTAATTAAACTATCTTGTTTCTGTAAGAACACAAAATTTTGTTGGCATTATCTCATGATGGCATGTACAATGCAATGTTTGAAAAAGTAAATGGTAGTAGATTGAAACTGAATAGAGGAGTAGAAATAATTGAAAAGTAGTAGCAGATCACAGTGAGAAAAAAATGAATGAACCCTTTATTTTTCTGTTATGTATCCACAACATGATTTTAATTAACTATTTTAAATCAACATGGTATTCATAATTATTTTTGCTAACTAGTATTGAAAAATCTGACAGAGAAACATTTCAGGTTAAGTGAACAATTTTCTTAATCTTTTCTGAACAATTACCAAAGTTTTCATGATTCCCAAATTCTGTTATGTGACCCCATATGGGAGTGACTACCCATACTTTAAGAAGTCCTGGTATAGAGAATCAATTAATAAGTAACTTCCATTTATCAATATTTACACTAATTATCATATCCTCCCCTTTTCCATTTTTGGTAGTCTTGTGATTAATTTTTTAAAAGTTGTTTTATAATTGGCCTATTACTTTGTAGGGTTAAACATTGTCATGTTCTCTGTTTCTGACAACTTTATTCTTTATTTTCTATGATAAAAATAATGTTTTTTTTTTTTTTCCTGTTTCTTTATTATTTGAAATTTTAAAGTAACTTGTAATTCAAATAAAGACTGCCATGCAGATGACAAATTGTTAGCATCTCTGTAATTGATACAATGCCTTCTACTGTGGGTTTGTAAATTTATACAGCCTCTAAGTATCTGAGGATAAAACAGATATTCTAGAAAGTCTAATCATTGCTTATCAAACAAATATTATATTTACAAAGAATTATTAGAAATATATAAGAATTATTATAAATCATTATGTAGATGTAGAAAGTATTATGAAGCAAAGTGAAAAGCTGAGATTGTACTGACCAAGGCAGTTACAATGAGTAAAAATATAATTGTTATAAAGAAAGAACTTGAAAAATTGTTAAATGATCTCAAAAAGCCCTTATAAACACAAATTTCTTCCTCTTTATTATCAGTTTAATCACTAATAAGAATTAGATGTTTTAATTAGAGTAATTGTTTTTTGCAAATGACAAAATACATTTTGAGGGAACTGGAAGATGGATACTATTTATATGACGCTGTTCATTAGTAAAACAGTTTGAAGTATATGGCAGAAAAACCTTATGAATTTGACACAGAATATAACTTCAGTAATAAGAACACAGAAGAAATCCAGTATTTAATTATTTAGCTCAGAAAAAACGCTATAAAAACTGTTGTGGATATCAAAAAACATAATGTTCTTTGTAAACTTTGCTTTATAAGAATAAATTTTCATGAATTATGAAAATTTATTCTTATTTATGAGAATAAGAATATTTATTTATTCATGAGAATTATCATATGAGAGTTCTAATTACTATATGAATAATAATCAAAATATATTCAAAAGTAAAAGTAAAAAACAAAAATTTTAATGACAACAATATTAGTTTCCATATTTATAACACTAAAGCTATTATTTTGTCTTATAATACGGAAATGTTTTATATCTTTATTTGTAGATGTACAATGTGAAAATGGCACCATATTTCAAGATTGTGGTAGTGCATGTCCTGCAACTTGTGAAAATTTAGAACCAGTATGTTTAATGAAAATGTGTGTTGATGGCTGTCATTGTCCTGAAGGAATGGTTCTTCATGAAAATCATTGTATTTTAAGGAGTGAATGTCCTTGTGAACATAATAATCATTGGTATCCAAATGGTGAGCAGCTTCAAGTGGATTGTAATGTCTGGTATGTTTACATTCTGTAGTATTTGCTGTTATCATAATTTTGTGCTGATAATTCTTGGGTTATTTCTGTTTAAGAATCAGTTTGCAAGTGGGGTATAGTTTATGCAATGATTGAGTTATGTGCTGATTTTAACTCATAATTACAAATTTATCAAATAGTTTTTCTTTTGTTTAAACCAAGACCATTTTTTGAAAATCTGAAAAATCCTTTACATACTATGGACATTCAACTTGTGAAGACAGCATCACATGTTTTTCCAAAACTTCCAGACACATGTATATGCCTCATCTGTAGTTCTTTTCATTTTCTGTCTTTTCATTCCACTTTATCTGATGCTTCCATTTGAACTTCAAAATCTTAAAAGTTTACAATAATGTTCTCCTTATGTATTAACCCTCATAGAACTATTTAGAAGATTCTGTTTAGAAGCTGAACAATTGACTTTCAAACTTGTGTTAATGGATGTCATGACATTAAAATTTTTTCTGTTTAAGTTTTTTGTTTATTTTAGCATTTATAATTATTATTAATAAAATATAACTCTGCCATGTAGGGGTGATGTAATATCATTACACATACTGATTCCTAGCTTGTATGAATGAGAAGGATTGATGTTTACCTGATGTTGACCCTTAGCTGGTTATAAAAATCTATGCCAAATCTATGATGAATCATCATCACGCTGGTAATAATGTTAGGGTGCAACCCCATAGGTGATGTGCAACAGAAATACCTGACTGTTGTGAAAAGTGGTCAAGGGTTTTTCTGATGGAAAGGATGAAAAAGCTAGAGAATTGGGGAAAGATTTCAAATTATGATACAATGGCAACAGTTTAATAAGGAATGGTGTAGATTTTCAGCCTGATTTACAGTCCAACTTCAGGAATGACCTTAAGTTGGCCTATAAATCAGTCTGAAAACATTTGCCTATGCATCAAGTATTCCTGGAAAGAAGAAAGGTTGTCTGATATTTTGAACTGTTTCCAGTTTGAGTTTTCTTTTTATTACAGAATAGCAGAATAAAATAATAACATTTTACAAGTTCTTTTGAGTAAATCTCCCAACAACTTAAACATAATAATTTTAAATTTAATTATTATCATGAAGATTCTTAACAGATATTTTGAAGTAATATTAAATGCATACAGTAATACCTCGACTTACGTGAACCTGGAGTTACGCAATTTTCAAATCTGACCGATTCGTCTTTTGTTTGAGCATCACGCAGCTTTTGATTACTCACTCCTCCCCACACTATTGTTCAGCTTACATGCTTGGACGTGTTGCGCAGAATCGACACATAGCTACAATTTATTTTGTGTTATTTATTTCTGTGTTTGTTATATCTACGGAGGATCGAGAGACTCTATGTGGTGATTTCTTGCAACCGTCAACGAATCAAAAGACGAGATAAGATTAACGAGAACATTTATTAGCTTACATACATCCGACTTGGATTTTATACAGATTGCGAAATTATACCCCGACTTATGTGAATTCAACTTACGCGTTTATCACTCGGTCCCACCTATCGCATAAGTTCGGGGTATTACTGCACATTTTTAGCAATGGTACCAACTTTACCATGAGAATAAGATTTCTTATATTATTAATTGAATTGCTAATTTCTCCAAGTAGAAATATTGTGTAGTTAATTAAGACACTTTCAAACAATCAAAGTTTTGCAATACTTCATGCTATTTGTTACAATTAATAATAATTACAATTTGTTACAATTAACAAATAATTAGAGTTTAACCAAAAAACTTGTTATATTGTTAAATATGCAGGTTTTTCAGCCTATGAATGAATATAATCATAGCATACACTTGTAAGAATGGGAGGTTCCAGTCTACTCTGTTCCACATACAGAATGGAAATTTAAATAAAAGATTCAGAAAAATCTTTCTTAGCCATCTTGGCACCAGCTAGGATTATATATCTTGCATTCTAACTTGCAATTAAATTATTTTATTTCTCAAGTGGCTAGAGGATAATCTTAAATGACCGGAACTTTAGGAAAGTTTACCTTAAACACTAAATGAATTAAGATACATGGAATATGTGAATTATGTGGGTTAAATGGGCCAATGATGGAGTTAGGCTTTAAATTAACTAAACAACAAATAATCAATATAACAGTTATTTATTATAAGTGATTATAACTCATATATATATAAACAAAACTATGATAAATCAGAATGATCAAGTTCAACAATCAAATATGTGAGAATATCTAACTCTAAACCTCTAAGTCTATCCTGATGAGAGAGTGTTTACATAAAATAATCATATTACCCTATAGTGGAGAGTCCTTGGGACGAGCAGAGATGATGAACCAGGAAAGGGATAAGAGTAAGAGCATTGGCTAAAGCATTGAGCACCAAGCAAGAGCATCAAAACAAGAGCAAGGGAATGTGATCTCTTATCTTTTATGCTGAATTCTGTCCAATAGGATTTTTGGAAAATTACACTGTTTCCAATGTGTGATGGAAGTCAGATGGTCTTGCGGATAGAAGAGTGAGACATCACACTCAAACTATCATTTTCAGAGGAACTAAACTGTTTCCTCTCTGTAACAAAAAGGAAGTTTCCTTTTTAACTTATATTGATAATTTTTCTATCAAAATAATTTTAAATATTATTTTAACAATTTTGTTAAAATAAATCCTTTAACTCCAAATTCTCACATACTAGATGGTCTGTATATTTTTGTTTCATATATCTTTATCTATTATTTAATAAAATTTATTTTTTGTAGAATTTTATGTATTATTTTTTATTTATTCAGTCTCTGTGAAAGTGGAAAGTGGAAATGCACTAAAGAAATCTGTCCTGCAGTTTGTTCATCAGTTGGAGATTCTCATTTTATAACCTTTGATGGAAAACAGTATGATTATATAGGTCAGTGTTCATATTATTTAGTGTATCGTGATGATGGATACACAATTGAACAAGAAAACACAGCTTGCATTGGCGATTTAACTAATCATAATGCAAAGGAATCTATTTTGTCTTGTAAAAAAAGCATTACATTGAGAACACCACAAGGGACCGTAGTTAAAATGAAACAAGGAATGGAGGTGCGTAATTTCATAAAATAATTCATAAATAACTGAATTTTATAAATTATTTACTTAAAATTAAAAATCAATTGGAATTTATGATATATTGTTTAAATACAATTTTTTTTAATAATATGTAATTAAAATTTTGATTAAATATTTTTAATTAGATAATTTTTCAATTGTTAAAAAAATACAAATTAAATCTTCTAAACAGCGAAACAGTGACTCTATGCTATTCAGTTACACAAACTAAGCAGATCATTACTTAATCCTGTGGAAGTTGTTGTGTATTTTTTTGATAAAATAATAAAAAATTGGTTTAAAATGTGTGTTAGTTATCAAAAATTTAAATTAAAAACATTACATTTTTAATTGAAAATGTTAATTGTTTTTTAAATTATGAGAAGAAACATTAACTTTTAACAGAATTTAATAAAAAAAAGTTACAAAAATAAATTGAAAATTTGCAATAATTGATTTACAAATAGCTTGCAGTCAATATTCTGTTTATGAACATGTTAGTCAGGGCCTGCTTTAGGGGCGGGCAACCCGGACATTTGTTTGGGGTGCCAAAGTTTAGAGGTGTCATTTTGGCTGTAAGTGTGAGAAAAGTATTGATGTGTTAAATATTCAATTAATAGAAAATTTCATGTATCAATTTTTTCGTTTTCTAAAAATTTACATTGCATATCGTATTTGTTTTGTTTATGTCTAAAAGCTAAAAATATATACACTATTATTGAAAAATTAATGCAGAATTTATAAAGGATTATGCTTGAACTTGTTTGAACATGCGTATACTTCTCTGAACAGAATAGCATTAGCATGCAAGCAGAGTGCTGCTTCAGCTTGTGTTTGAACATGCATAGATTTACCTCTAATTATAAAAGAGCAGTTTCATTACACAATAGCATTATTCTTGCTATTACGTTGGTAGTGATAACAAGGGGAAGTTCATAAAATTTATTTAAGTGCAATTTCTTAATTTTTAAAGGTAAGTACATCTATAATTAAGCTGTTGTTTAGTTTGATAGATACTAGTTTATCATAATTGGTTATCGAATCAAAACAATGAAAGCGTTTGTAAATAAAATAAATATTTAATTTATCCAAAAAGGCTGTTTATTAAATCAATAAAATATTGTATTAAATTTGAATGTATTCTATAAATATAATTCTTTTTTGTTTTATGAAAATAATTATTTGAATCGATAATATAAGACATTTATTAAGTTCATTGCTTCGATAAAATGCATTTTATAATAATATATTTGAATAATTGAACTGAATAAAATTTCAAAATCAAGAATTATAAAATTGTTTTTAATGACTGTTTATGGTTCGCTGAAATATTTGTTATTATAAAATACATATATAAAAACACTAGACTTTCTTCACATTCACAGGATACGAAAAATATTACGTGTAAGCCATAAATATTTTTTATGTCCATTGACAGAATATAATTTTGAAGTTATGTTAATTACAGTTTTAGCTTATTTAGAATAAGGATAAATCTTTATTTTTTTAAAATATTATTTTATAGTTTACATTATTTAATTTGAGTTATGTGCATGCCTTTTCCAGAATGTCTAACAGTCAAAGAAAACTGATTACCAGTACAATAATACCTCGATTTACGCTACCCTGACTTACGCAAAACTGGAGTTATGCGATTTTCAAATCTTGTCAATTTGTCTTTTGTTTGAGCACCACGCAGCTTTTGATTACTCACTCCTCCCCACACTATTGTTCAGCTTACATGCTCGGACGTGTCGCGCAGAATCGACACATAGCTACAATTTATTTTGTGTTATTTAGTTCTGTGTTTGTTATATCTACAAAGACTTGAGAGACTCTATGTAGTGATTTCTTGTAAACGTGAATGAATCAAAAGACGAGATAAGATTAACGAGAACATTTATTAGCTTACATGCATCTGATTTGGATTTTACACAAATTGCAAAATTATACCCTGACTTACGCGAATTCGACTTACGCGGTTATCGCTTGGTCCCGCCTATCGCGTAAGTTTGGGGTATTACTGTACAAAAAATTGAAGGCTGGAAAAGGAAGCCGAAAGACAAAAACAAGCTGGCATGTTAAAAAATTATATCCAGAGTTGTACCAAAACAAATGACGACTCTGAGAATCCAACATTAAGTCCGGTTATAAAAGAAAATGCAAAATCGTCAGAGGATGATGATGACAAACAAATGGACGAAGTTTCTAAATCAATTGGAACTTATGACACTCTGACTCTATCATCACCAGATGAAAGCATTGAAAAAATTGACACCAACATGACAGAAAGCATTCTACAAACTTTGAGTACGGATCCAGCATTGTGTCCAAGAATTTTAGGAGATGCTGAAAGAAGTTTTTTAGTAAGACCAGGTCTACCTAAACCATTGTATAATTACAAATTTTCTTCCAATGACACTGGTTGACATTTTAGCGTAAATATATTATACACAAATTTAAGCAATGGAGAGCAAGTTTTATGAGACTGGCTGGTATACTCTCTTTCACAAAACTGCGTTTACTACTTCTGTTGAAAAATTTTCGGCTGTATAGTTAGTTCTCTTTCAAAAGAGGGTTTTAAAAGTTGGAAGCACCGTGGCAGAACTTTAAAAGAGCATAAAATTTCCAAAAATCATATTCAGGCTCAAAAATCATGGCTAGAAATGAACCTAAGGTTAAAGTGGTGTAAAACTATAGATGCAGCCTTTCAAAGAATTATTAATGCCAAAACAAATCATTGGAATGAGGTGCTTCTAAGAATCATAGCAATTACTAAAATGCTTGGTAAAAGTGGTCTGACTTTTCAAGGTACTGTACAAGTAACAAGGTGTTTGAGTATAAAAACAGTAATTTCTTAAAAATAGTTGAGTTGCTATCTCAATTTGATCTCATTATGGAAGAGCACATCTGTAGAGTACTAAAAAAAGAAGAGACTAAAGCTCACTATCTGGGGAAAAATATGCAAAATGAGATAATAGATCTGCTGCATCAAAGTGTAAAGTCTCATATTATTGATGAAATAAAAAAATCAAAATATTTTTCCATAATTTTAGACTGTACTCCTGTCATTAGTAAGATAGAGCAAATGACTGTTGTAATCAGATATGTTTCAATCAATAAATTTCACGCTGATGTTGAAATTAAAATTAATGAAACTTTTTAGGCTTCTTACCAGTCGAAAGATCCACAGGAAAACAAATGTCTGATATTATAATTGGAGAACTTAATGACTTGGGTTTAAATTTGCAGGATATTAGAGGGCAGGGATATGACAATGGGTCCAATATGAGGGGCGATAAAGCAGGACTACAATCTAGAATTAAACAATATAATTCGCGAGCATTCTATGTTACGTGTAGTAGCCACTCTCATCAATCTTATTAATGATGTGGCAAAAGCATCCTTGAAAGCTGCTAATTTCTTCAACACGGTCCAAAAAATATATTTATTTTTTTGGCATCTACTTTTCGATGGGCAATACTTTTAAAACATGTTCAAGGTTTAACTTTGAAACCATTGAGTGACACTAGATGGGAGAGTAGGATAGAGACCTTAAAGCCTTTGAGATTTTATTTGGGAGATGTATATGACGCCTTGCTAAGCATTTACGAAAACCAAGAAATTGATAATTTAATAAGAGACTAGGCCTTGGGTTTATTAAATTGTATTAAACAATTTAGGTTTTTGTGTTCATTAGTTATTTGGCATAAAATACTAAATTCCATTAATCCAATAAGCAAGATGATGTAAACAAAAGATTTTGATCTAGCCTTTGCACTTGATCTTTTACAAAACTGCAAAATATTTTTTAAGAATCTTCGATTGGATTCGTCTTTCGATGAAACTATTATTGATGCAAAAGAACTTGCTACTGAAATTGATGTGGAGGCTAATTTTGAAACAATAATAACATGACACCACGTTAGAAGAAGGAAAAGGAACTTCTTATACGAAGCACGAGATGAACCCATCAAAGATCCAAAAGAAAATATAAAATAGATTTTTTTTATTTTACAATTGATCAAACACTAAATGCACTAGATGCTAGATTTGAACAACTTAGTAATCATAGTAACTATTTTCAATTCTTATATAATATATACGATTTAAATATCATGTCCAAAGAAATGCTACTAAAACACTGTAAGAATTTAGAATGCATTTTAACTGATGGTGGTTCTGTTGACATAAATGGGGTAGAATTAGCAGAGGAAATTTCAGCAGTATCTGCACTTTTGGTCCAAAAAGAAAGCCTAAGCAATGTACTGAGCTTAATTACAAAGTTAAATTTTGCCCCAAATCTTACTATTGCTTTAAGAATATTGCTAACGATACCAATAACTGTAGCAAGTGGCAAAAGGAGTTTCTCTAAGTTAAAATTAATTAAGAACTTTTTACATTTGACTACTACACAACATCGTCTTAATGGTTTGGCCATGTTGGCAATTGAGCATGAAATTGCTGATCAAGAAAATTTAAAAGATGCAATAAAAAAGTTTGCAGAACTGAAAGTAAGAAAAAAAGTTTTTTGTGATTTTAGCAGTGTTGATGTTGCTTTGTTTTATTTTCAAAATAATGGCAGTTTGATTGTTTGTGCAATAATACATTTTAATAGCATTAAAAATGTAAAAAATTATATGTTTAACAATTTGTGGCTAGGTACAGATGTTTCTTAATTAATTTCTACTGTTTTGTACTGCTTGGTTATCAATGTTATATGCTTTTATTAAAATTTAAATAAAATAATTTGATTTTTATTGAAAACAAAAAATATGTACCTTTATTTAAATATATGTATATATATATATTCTTAAGGGGTGGCAATTTGTCTTTTTGTCCAGGGTGATGTAACCACTAGAGCAGGCCCTGATGTTAGTTGATAAAGTGAGAATATTGACTATATATCTTAATATATGCATAACTTACTGACTATATATGCACTAGCAGATAAGCCCGGCGTTACTCGGGCAAAAAGTAACGATAGCAAAGAT